ATTCACATTTCATGGACTCATCACTTTACTTATCATATCACATCAGATCTCATGTCACTTGTTCACATTTCACATTTCTCATAGTCATAATCACAAGGTCACATATAAGAGATTCCCATCCTCATCATGCTCATAGGAAACATGCCACTTGCATTAACACAATAATAAGGTAGTTCTCACACCATTAACACTTTTAAACATGGCTTAAAACTTATCTGTGTTTGAAATTAAACATATATTCACACTCAGCAAACATTAAGGGGAATAACAGAAAACTCAAACATCAAAATAGAAAATATTCATATTTTTCCTATTTCTCATAGGATTTCTCGTAGAACCCATAAAGCACTTTGATCCCTATCAAAACATATCTAAACTCAAAATTAAACATATATTCATGCTCAGTAATCATCAAGGAAAACAACAGAAAACTTAGAAGGCAAAATAGAAAATATTTAAAATTTGTCTGTTTCTCATAGGATTTCCCGTAGGAACCCATAAAGCACTCTAATTCATATCAAAACATATCCAAACTTAAAATTAAACATATATTCATGCTCAATAATCATCAAGGAACACAACAGAAAAACTTAGAAGGCAAAATAGAAAACATTCAAAATTTGTCTGTTTCTCATAGGGTTTCCCGTAGGAACCCATAGAGCACTCTAATCCATATTAAAACATATCTATTCTTGAAATTGAACACATATTCACACTCAAAATGATGGGCTCCTTCCTTCCATGGTTTGTTCTTTGGCTTCCAAGGAGGAGCTCCTCTTTCTACACGGACTAGGAAGAAGGATGATGGTTGGATGTTCCTCAAAGGTGGTGGACAAACAAATTTGAAAGGGGTGGAGGTGAAGGTGGGAGAAAATGGAGGTGGGAAGGTGGAAGGTGTTTATGGTGCTCTTGGCTAGCTCTCTCCACCAAGGGATGGTGGAGGCCACTCAAGGGAACTCAAACTCTCTTTAGGGTAGAGAGGAAAAGAGAATGGGGGTGAGAACCCTAGGAGACTAAGAAAAGCTTTTTGAGGCACAAGGCTCACTCAAAATGCATATATTTCAAAGTGGGTACAAGGTGGAGGGACTAGAGTACTTATAGAGAGAAAGGAGAGCATCTAGGGTTTCTTGGAATCTTTTGGCCAAAAATTTCAAGCCCAAATGCACCCTAAATGAACCCTAGATGCAGTCCAAATGAAATGGCTCTAATCTCTCCAAAAAGTCTAAAGTACCCTTAGTCCTAGAAAATGAAAGAAATGGACTTTTGACATGACAAGTCAAGGTTAAGTCCCTAAATAAATCCTAAGACTAATTTTTCCCCATAATACAAAGGCTAAATAAAAATACAAAATAAAATCCTAATATCTAATATACCCCAAAATACAAGGGCAAAATAGGGAAGGAAAGCAACAAACTAAATAGAGGGCCCAAAATCCACACACATGATGATCATGGCTTTTGGTGTGGTGTGTTCTTCATCTTCCTCTACTCTCCTAGCCATGGACCTTGTGATAGGCCCTATATGATGTCTCAATGATGGTCCTCCATCACAAAATCACATAAGGAACAAAACAGAACAATTAGAAATCAAAACAAAAAACTTTCATAAAGTGTATGTTCTTATCAAGCAAGGGATTGGGGGTCAATCCTGCTACCCAAAAGTTATTCCCACACTCCCGAGTGAGGTTCTCACTGCCCCCTTACCTAGATGAGCAAAAGATGAAGCACGGGCAGAATTTGGTTAGTTCTCTCCTTCAGGTTCTCCTTGGTCTTCAGAAGCGTAAAAGGAAAATGAGTCGGGAAGAAGTGAATGTGTGGAATGACTCAGATAACTTCTAATAACCTCCCTTTTCTCAAATTAATAAAATAATAATAATAATAATAATATTAAACATATCTTCTCCCTTTAATAAGATAACTTAAACATAATTATTAATATTAAAATACATTTCATAAAAATAACTCCTACTCCAGTAATTAAACAAAATATAGTTACAAATCGTGTCACATAATTAAAATAGAGCTTATATCACTAATTAAATAATATTCAAAACTCTAAAATAAATACATTAAATGTGAAAATAATTTCTAAAATACTATTTATTATAAGATATGAAATTCAGGGTGTTATAGTGTTCCTTTGTCTGTTGCATTTCAGTACTGCGTCTGTCAAGCTTTTACTACTTCACTATTTTTAAAAGTGTGAGTTTTTGATATACACTATTCAACCCCCTTCTAATGTGCATCTTTCTCCAATAATATATATCATTTATGATGTATTATAACCAAATTATCTTTATCTATGTTATTCCTTAACAAATTGTGTTAAGTCAAAAGACAATCTTGGATCCCTCAAACTTTGAAAGTTTTAATGATTACAAACATAATGTTTTTTAAGAGAAAAGGTTTTTGATAAATAAAAATAAGACGAAGCATAAGATGAAAATTGTTAAATAGACGACGCATCATCAGACAAAGTATACAATCTAACTTCATAAAGTCTTAAATACATATTATTTAACATGAAAATGAATAATTGTTACATACTAAGTGATTCCTTAACATATTGAACTAAGAAATATTTTTGGAACTCACAAATTTGTTAAAATGAATGAATTCATCCTTTATGCCAAGAACTAAGGACAAACGAATCCTTAGAATCATATAGAAAGTCATCAAGAGTTGATGCCAAACCTGGTCCTTACTAACACATGCTACAGATAGTTCATTTCGTATCCTAAAGTAGCATCCTTAAACATAAAAAAAATGACAATTTGTTGAAACGCATTTAATGCATCAATGGACATTTCCCACCTTAAGGGGCTTGTAATGAAGACAAACAAAAAAGGAATTTGAAGAACCCTCAAGTTTTTGCAACAATCATCTTCATTTGGTTTTTACTATATAAGACGCTTCATGATTAAAAATAAGATAGACATATAGAAGAATCTTCTCGGAAAAAAAAATTTGTGATGAACATTTTCAAATTATTTATGTAAAGCTCTTTGTACTTAGACTGTTGTATCATGTCTTGACAGGAAGATGAAACAACTTTGTAAATCTTAATAACTCTAAGTTATTTGTTTTGAGCTTGAAAAGGTTTGTCTGTAAAATAATACTTGTGGTTTGAGCCTGAAGATGCTTGTTTGTAAAATAATACTTGTTTGAACCTAAAGAGGCTTGTCTGAAAAAAAAATAATTGTCTATTCCCTCTTCAATACTTTTTACTATTAGCGTTACTACTTCACTACTTAAAAAAGTGAAGTTTTTTATTGACACTATTTATCCCATCTTTTAGTGTCTTCCTTTTCTCCTCAGATCAAAAGGAATAAAAAGCTTCTTCAATACTTACACTTTAAAAAGGAACAAAAACATATTTTGCATTAGAAAGAGGACAATTATATCCCTCAAAGGATGCAAAAGTTGTTTCTAATTGACACACTCATATGTTCTTCTCTTTTGGTAACCTAAAAGTGATAAGTAGCTTCTTTGATCAAGTAGAAAGTCAAAATTTGGTGAAATGTATTTAATGTTCATATTTAATGCACCAATGGACACTTCTCTCCACAAAGAATATGGATGAAGACAAACAAAGTAAGCTTGTGAGAGACACTTAAGGATTTACAAGGGTCATCTTCTTAAAGCACCTATACAAAGAAACTTGAAGATTTAGAAAGTATATTTAGACAAAGAGACAACATACATAGATAGAACTACTTTTGTAAACATTATAATATTTTCTATATAAACAACTTTGTACTTAATTGGTTGTATAACGTCTTGATAGTAAGATGAAACAACATGGTAATTTTATAGCTTTAACTTTGTGTTATTGCTTTTTGTTTGCATATACTTGAATATAAAAGAATACTTGGTTGTTGGAGCATAAAGAGTTTGATTTTAAAAGAATATTTGATTGTTGAAGTCTAGTGAAACTTTGTGTTAAAAGAATACTTAGATAGTTGCTTCAAGAAACAAGTCAAAAAATACTTAATTTGAGCTAGAAGTGACTTGTGAAAGAATATTTGTATCTTTGTAAATTATAATTTAACTTGATCGGGTTGATCAAGAACTAGACATAGTATAAAAATATCGTGTGTTCTTTCTTTTAACTCTTCAACTGCACTCAAAAGGTCTTGCTACTACTTATTGTTCCAAAAAGGTGTTGAGATTTTGATCAATACTATTCAACTCTTCCTTCTAATGTCTTTCTTTTCTCCACAAATGCTACCATTTTTATGTTGGTTGCTTGTCCAATCAATAGAAAATATTTTTATGACAGTTAAAGCAATAACTAAAATAAAAATGTATTATTTAAAAAAATATCATCATTTTTTTATGTTGATTAACAACTGACATAAAATCTTATCATAACTTCTTATTAACGCTCTAGTGATTACAACAATTCATGCACACCGTTGAGCTAACTTAAACTTAAAATTATTGATTAAACAATTTTACTCGATTTATGCACTCCATAATTTTAAAAGAGTTTAAAATTATTTTAAAATAAAATTTTTTATCAATGAAAAATATAGCGACCACGACTAGGTTCGAATGTGTATCTTCAATTCGCCACCACTAAATATTAATAGCGTAAATTTAGTGGTAAGGAAAAATAAGGAATTAATAAATAATTAAAATAAGAAGAGAAAAAAAGCAAAAACTTATGATAAAGAAAAAAAATATAATACATTAGCGTTTTTCAGAAAGAGAATAAGAAAAAGGAGGAAAAAAAGGAAACAATTCTCATGAGACATGCATTGTGATTGAATTGAAAGAATGGAAGATTGTTTTGTAGCGATGAAAATCCGTGAAAGGCGTGTGGGGTGGTGTGTGTTGGTTGTAAGTGCATGGGACCCGTGTGCAATCAAAGATAGAGAAAATAAATAAATAAAGATAGAGAGAGAAAAAAAAAACAAAAACAAAAACAAAAAAACGAAGCCTTTAACGCAAGACAACTAGTAATGAACGCGGAGCATCACCTAACGTTGGTGCCTATCACATTTTTCTCTCTTACTTTTCCTCTCTTGTTACCATTCTTTTAAGCCTTCCTCACTCACACTTCTCTCTCATTTCAAACCCCCTCTTTCCTCTTCCTCATACATTGTACTTCGTTGTCATGGAGAAAAGGTAGTTTGTTCGGAGCTTCCTTTGTTGTCACCTCTAGTTCAGTTCAGCTGAGGAAACTTTCACTTCACAGGTTTGCATATGCTTTTATTATTTTTATTATCAATCACGACATCAAAATTCAAACTTAGGACTTTTATATCAGGAAAGGTTAGGTCGTGCTTTACATGTTCTACCTGAAATTTTTTACAATAGTTTAATTTTTTTTATACAAGACGATGAAAATTGAATACGCTAGAGTTCTTCTTCACCTTCAATTTTATGACTTGAAAGATGGTATGAAATAAATTCGGACCAGCTGTCTCTGACGTATGCCACCAAAATCATTTTCATTCATAATTTTCAATCCCAAATTTTATTTATGTGAAAGAGAGAGAACATGTAAAACAATTACCAAGATTATTTTAAATTTTGATTGCGATTTAATGCTTCATATGACATTGTAAGAAATTAAGGCTGATATAATCAGATGCGGTCATACATAACATTGTGAAAAAAAAAATGAAGATTGATGTAGTCATAATTACAGTCATGATAATTACATTAAGTAAGAAAATCTTGAAATCGTAGCAACCATTGTGATTGCAAATGGTTTTTTAAAACCATGATTTCAACAATTAAAAAATGAATTTCAAATTGATGTTTTAACTTTTGACATTATTTTGAATTTCGATACAGAATAGTTAATTAAAATCAAAATTCAAAATCTCACTTTAGTCTTTACCTATTAGATTTCTTTTTCTTTTTTTTTTTTCTTTTCTCCGTAATTACTAAAACTAGTATAATTTTCTCTAAACCCATATGGTATAAACTTAAATTCCAGATTTTATTTCTCAAATAACAGGAAAACAAATTAAAAGAAAAATTCCACATTTAAAAAATGAAATTATTAGGCAATTAGGCATGCTCCCTAAATGAAAAAAAAAGGATTTTATTTTTACATTGAGGAACAATCACGTAACTTTTAAAGTGGTAATTTTTGTCTATAAACTTATCATATCAGAAAATTTTTTGACAATAATGTAAATTTTTTTTTACACAATTTTACTCCTTAAAAACATCCATTGTGATCTATTTATATTTTTTTTCCATTTTTTTTCAACTAAAATTTTAGCTTGTAAGTTAAATATTTATTAAATATAATTAAAATTTATAATAAATTATACATATAAATCGTATTTAAAATTTTTGTAAATAAATATTTGTAATATAAATTATATTTTTTTGACAATAATATATAAATCAAAATTAAATTTATAATAAATAATTTATATTATAATATAATATTATTTTATTTATAAATAACATATTTTAAAAATATTAAAATTTAATTTATAAATAATTATGATGAATAAAAATAAAATCAAATAATTTTTTTAAAAATATCCTTAAAAAATTTTCATTAAAATAAATTTCTTAAAAATACATTTAGTTAAAATAAAACTTCATATTTAATATTTAATATATTTACAATGATAATTATTTTAATTTTCAAATTTTGCAATGTACATAAAAGCACAAAAGTGCTAACGTGCACTCTCTCTTTCACGGTGGACACCGCGCTTCTTTCGTGGGCCCCCCACATGGGCACTACTACTAATAACGGATTTCAAAACCATTCACAGTTATTCAAACAAACCTTAAAACACAAACACAAACACCGAACTTCTTCTCATTTTCTCTTCTCTTCTCTTCCATTTCCCACTCACACTTCTCATTTTCTCAGGAAAATTATAAAAAAAAATGGTTGGAAACTTCATCGACGACATTGACTGCAGCAGCTTCTTCGACCACATCGACGACCTCCTCGATTTCCCCGTCGAAGACGCCGCCACAGCCGACAACTCCGCCGCTGCACCGGTCTGCCCTCCGGCGAGCTTCTGGTCCGCCGAGTCCGACTCGCTGCCCGCCGCAGACACTGTGTTTTCCGGCAGCGCCGTGCCAGACCTCTCGGCAGAGCTCTCCGTTCCGGTGAGTTTCCAAACTGTAATGTATCATTGGTCCACGTGTCACTTAAAAAGGCTCACGTGGACTCTGTGAACGTGTTGCGTGTAATTTTATCAGCGCCCATGGTTTTGCTTTTTTTTTTTTCTTTGACATGTTGGAATGGGGTTTGCATGAAAATTTGGTTCTATTAGTTCAGTTCGTGTCTTTTGTTTGATACTGTTCTACTGTTTTTTTCCTTTCGATAATTAGTTCAAACTTATCTTTAAAAAATATTATTACTGCAAATTGGAATTTGATGTTACAAAATTTCGAATATTTCAGAACAGTTTCGGTATTTAGATATCATATTATAAACATTAAAAATGCTTCTCTTTTTTTTTTCTTGAAATTTGTTGACATTGAATTTTGAATTTTGTTAATGTGTTCCCGTCATTGTTATTTTAAACTTATTTATTAATTTTCACTGTAACCAATTAAAAATTATAACTTTTAAGGCAATTACAATGCTATTATATCCTCTAACAAATTCTCTAAAAAAATTATTACATCGATTATAAAAATATTAATATCTTAAAAATATAGGATATATCTAAAATTTACCATAAAAAATTAGACAATATTGTTGGAAGATTTAAAATTATTTAAATAGTTATTATAAATGTTGTTTTATTAAAGAACAGTCAAAAGACTTTTTAATTTTATTTATATATTATAAAAAATAATAAATTTATTATATATGACAATTTAGCATATAATTAATTATAGTATAAAAACACTTTACATGTAAGTGAATGTATTATATATATATATATATAAATATGCATATGCATCTCTCGCAATTAAGAAAAGTTGTCTCTCAACATTTTCTCTTTTGTAATTCACTTTTGTAAAAAAGTATTTATTTTTTTATATGAAAAAATAAATATATTTAGTTTGCACCGTCAGAACTTAATGTAGAAAGTCTAAATTTAATTTGGGGTTTGGGACGTCGAATTAGGGGTTAGTACAAATTTTCAAATATTCTTAGAGAAGGGTAATTTAGTCATTTCAAAAGGACACTTGATTGTGTCGGTGAGAAACAAGGGGCATATACTCCAACCCATTGGTGGGGTTGCGCTGTCTAAATTATTATGATTATCATTATTGAATGTCACGTGCCTCGGCATGTGACGCCATAATGGACATTTAGAATGGTCTTCACTCTAGGTGGTAGTAGCTCATGCTTCACCAGGAAGTGTGGCTAGGTCAAAATGTTAACACTTCATCAAGCATTTCTATTGTCTAGAGAATTAGTTTAAGAGTTAAAATTGAAATTTTTTATGAAATGGGACACACTTCATCTTAATATTTATGACTAATTCATAAAACTTTATTCGATATTCCTTTCTTTCAGTGGCTCTATACAAACTTATTTTAATTTTTATAATAATATTACACTGTATAATTTTTCTTTTAATATGGACTTTTCTTACGCAATTATATGAATTGTGGGAAGTCAAAGAAATATCAAAAAAAAATTGAGAAGTAAAAATAATTTATTTATTAATTAATGTTTTCAGGGCACTTGTTAGTAAAACAAATTCAACAAAAAGCTTTTATTTTTATAGGTATGGTTAATGAATGTCTCAAAGACATCGGTCAAAGAATAAATAAAAAGTATTTATTTTTATAGGTCTTGTTAATGATTGTCTCAAAAGACATTAGTCAAAGAATTAAATGAGTAAATAAAAATTATTTATTGAAAATTACTTAAGAATATATTAGTAATATTCCCTTAATAGTGACTATCGTTTAACCATTAAGGTTAGCTTAATGATTGGGTAGGGAAGGATTGGAGTAGTTAGAAGCATGAGGACCTAGGTTCAATCCTCATTGCGACTATGTTTGTAATCTTTTCTATCTTTAAAAAAAAATAGTAACTACCGTGTAAGAAAAGAATTTAGTAAAAAAAATAAGGGTATTTTTAACTTTTCAAAAATAGCATTAATTTCTTTTTTATTTTTACTCATAATAATTTTTTTTAGAAGATTGTTTTTAAATTGTATTTTTTCTAATAAATAAAACTAATAACGAAATTAATTTTCTAAAATTATTCTCTTTAATTTACTTGTTCATTTTTTTTACTTTGGTAAATAAATTTAGAATGATACTCTTTTTGGAATACTTAAATCACACATATTAAGAAAAATAATTATCATTTAATTTTATTGATTTTATTTCTAAACCACTTTTAATAATCTTCATTAGAAATAAAAATTATAGTTAATTTAAGTATAATTTTGAAAATGATAATATTAAATAAGGTCAAATTAGTTAGAATTTATTCATATTTACATTTAAAAATTTTAAGTACTTTTTTCTTATATACGAATCCAAAAGAGTGTGGTATTCCACGTCAAGAGTTTGCAATATTCACCAATGCGATTTGTTTAATTTTCCAATCTCCTCTTAATTGTCGGTATTAATTTATTTGTTTCACAGGGGAGTACAGAAAACGGAGAGAGGATTAAGGGCAGTAATTAAACAGCTTAATTTCAATAGAAATTTATTTTACTAATAAATCTTATCATAAAACTTATTGAAATATGATTAAAAGCCAAATAAATTTATGCATAATATAAATTCTTTTAAAAGTTTGTCACTATAAAGTCTTACACAATAAACTAATCAGAAGTCATCATTAATATGATATGAATATAAATACCTTGATTGGAAAGTTATATTGTCAAATACTTATTTGTAATAAAATAACAGTGTAAAAATATATTTTCGGTGCATAGCTTATTTCCTCTTCTTTTATACGCCTCCAAAAGTCTGTTTTTGCTTGAATTGTCAATTTAGTAGCATCTACGTGATGGACCGTTTGATTCAAAGAAGAAGAAAGATTGTTTTGATTAAGAATTTTAAAAACTAATTTATTTTTAAATCCTTATAATTTTGAAGTTAAAAACATAACTAACCATATTTTAAGCATTGTATTCAAAATGTTTGAAAAGAGATTTTCTTCTCCTATACTTGCCTGCATCCGAACATTATGTTAATGTTATTTCTATGTGAAATCTTGTTTTTCTTAGGCAGGGAATGTTAAACTCTAACTATGTTGAATGTGTCCTTATTTCAGTATGAAGACATTGTGCAATTGGAATGGTTGTCCAATTTTGTTGAGGACTCTTTCTCATGTGGAAGCCTCACCATGAAGAAAGAGGAGCCACAATGCAGCACAAAGGATGACACAGCTCACACCCAGTTCCAGACAGCAAGCCCGGTCTCAGTCCTGGAAGCCACCACTTTCTCCTCCGGCGAGAAGGCCGCCGCGCCTCGCAGCCCGGAGCTCTACATCCCGGTGCCATGTGGCCGTGCCCGCAGCAAGCGTCCACGCCCTGCAGCCTTCAACCCCCATCCAGTGATGCAGCTCATATCCCCTGCATCCTCCACCGGCGAAAGCACGCAGCACAAGGCCTCTCCCTCGTCAGAGTCCGAGAACTTCGCCGAGTCGGCGATCAAGCCGGCGAAGCAGGCCTCCGGGGAGCACAAGAAGAAAAAGAAGATCAAAGTAGCACAATGCAGCATCACAAAGCAGTGGCAAGAGCAGAATAATGCAGCAACAGCAACAGCAACAGCAGCAGTTAGGAAATGTCTGCACTGTGAAATAACCAAGACGCCTCAGTGGAGGGCAGGGCCAATGGGGCCGAAAACACTCTGCAATGCTTGTGGCGTGCGCTACAAGTCAGGCCGGCTGTTCCCCGAATACCGTCCGGCAGCCAGTCCGACGTTCTGCGCCGCCGTGCACTCCAACTCCCATAAGAAGGTTCTTGAAATGAGAAACAAGACAGGCACCCAATCTGGCTTTGCAAATGACTCAGTTGCCTCACCAGAACTTATTCCAAACACTGACGCCAGCCTTTCACTGGAATACATGTGAGAGGGGAAGTGAAGTGAATGATCCTAGTTGGAGATTTCTCTAACTCTATTTCATAATTTCATTTCAGTCCCTCATGTCTTATACAAGGTTTTCAATTGCATTCTGCAACTGCAATATTAAGGTTTTGGAGATCTATGCAAGTTAAAACCTTAGTCATGTGTTATTTCTTAATTTTCATTTCTGTTTTTTTTCATTGGGTTTTGTACAGGGATGGAATGGGGGGATAGGAGCATTAGGGTATGATCATATTGTAGCCATATTTAGAAGAGGATTGTAGTGAGAACTGAAGAACATTGGATAGAGATATGCAAGTCGAAGAGAGTAGAGTCACTAGAGTGTTAGCCATTTAGCATTTAGGTCTAGTAATTGCAGCAGTACTAAGGAGGCTTCAATGTGCCGGTTGTTGCTTCTCTTATTTTCATCATTTTTCATATTTTTTCTTCTAAATATCCCTCTGTACCAATTCTTTTTGCAGTTCATTTGTAGCAAAACTTGAGTCGAATCAGGAAAGGAACTTTCGGGAATTTCGGTTTTTTCCTTTTAATGCTTTGTGGTGGAATCATCCTTTTCTAATATCTGCAAACTGCAATGGGAATATATATGTGTGTGTGTGTTTTTGAGCAATACCTGAATATTGCAATATTGCTCTGCTGAGAAAACCATGCTTGGATTGGACCACACCAATGGTTGCAATATTGGCACCAACAACTGCAGCTGTATCAATTAGTTCTCTGTGTTGAACTTTTCCACCAAGGAATACAAAATATAAAATAGTAATGTTATATGGGCACCAGACAACATTATAATTTCACCATCACTCTTAGCAATATAAAATATCAGAACCAGGCACATTAATTCAAAAGGAATAATATGACAATATTGGTTGAACTTTCACGTTAGTCCCTTAAATAGTAATGTTATGCGCTTCAGTTTTTTGACTTTACAAAATTTTTAATTCAATTCCTAAATTTGTAAAATATTGTAAAAATTTATTCATTTTAGTCTTTAATGGAAATAAAAGAGTGTAATGAAAATAAGGCTAAATTAAGTAAAATTTTGTAACATATTACAAAGTGAGTCGTTGGAGATAAGTCTATTGTTGTTTACAAAGGGAGAAGCAGGTAGAAGAAAGTTTTATAAAGTCAAACACTAAATTGAATAATTCTTACGATCTTGGGCAAGTTTATTTGACTATATATTTATAATTTTTACAAGAGGACACTTTTTTTTTATTATATATTTTTAAGGACTAATATATTTATTATAACAATCTTTTAATGATGAATTTAACTATTTCATTTGTTATGTATAGTAATATTTGTTTTATATCTATAATTTATAACATATAATAAAGGGAATTATCTCCTTTTGTATTCAATTTTTTTAAGATAATTTTATTCTTAAATTTTTAAGTTATAAAAATAATATAAAAAATTAATTATCTTTACAAATATAAGACTCAAATCAAAATCTTTAGGTTTAAGGACCAAATATAATACCAATTGATTTATAAAATATTAATTATTTTTGAATATTTTTAAACATTGATAATTTTATAGAGATACAAAGTGTCTCGATTCTACTAACTATTAATGAAGGAGATATTTCATTTTAGTGTATATAGATTTTTACAAATTTATCCTTATAACTGTCTCTAAATCACTTTCTCTTTTATTGCCTTCTATATATTTATTTTCTTTTTTTTCTATAACAAGAAACCATAATCAATTTTCAAACATCTCTTTAAATAATCAATTTATTTTTATTTTTATTAAATAGAGAGATGCGAAGTGCTTCTTTTTCTTCTAATTAATAACAAAAAAAAATATTCCCTTTTGATGTACATAATTTTTTAGACAATTTCGTCCTTATAATTTCTATATTATATCTCATTTTATCTTGTATAATTACTCCAAAACTACTTAAATTCTTTTATTATTAACTACTAACTATTATTCAATCTTAATCATTTTATTTTTATTTATTTTAAAATATACGGATGCATCAACTATTTTCTAAAGCAGTAATATTTAAAAAGGTTGTAAGTTTGTTAAAATGTTTAAGGATTTACTCATTGCACATATCTGAGATTAACCCAAAGGCCAGAATAAAAAAAATATATCCCAAAAATAAAAGTAGTCATCTTTCAACAATGTAAACTACCTGCATGTGAAAACAAACCTACAAAACCCATCAACAAAAGAAAGAAAAAGTAAGAGAAGCAGTGGGAGAAGAAATGATGATTATTATTGATAAAAACGTTTCCATGCCTTAAAAGGTAAGATTAATGCTCCTATATTTATATAATTATGACATTGAGAAACTCTTTATGAGGATTTGGCAACATGTCATGATCTCAATCAACTTTACAACCGACAATAAATTAAATGATAGTAATTTGCTGTTAAATCCAATCGATGGCATCAATCATTTCAGCAACTTGAATTTCTCCTGCAGATGGGAAACATTATTTCAAAAATGTCACACATCTCCCATGTTTTAAGTTATGCCCGATCATAACTACTTTGATAAAGACTTCAAAAGGATCGATACCTCTCCTCCCTCCAACATCTTTTGTATTTTTTGTGTACTCTAATTACTGCGAACGGGCCTGCTGTTATAGGTTATTATTATCATTAATATACCTACGTTTTATTTCACTTTCCATCCAAAATTTTTTCTTCTTTATCTCTTTACTTTTCATCTATTGTTAATTACATCAATTTTTTTTCTTGTTTTTTCAAGTTTAGGAGAATTGTCTTATAAATTAGTTGAAACTTAAAAGCTAGTTCTAAGAGCTAAAAGAACTTAAACTTAGCTAAAATTATATATTTATTTAATAATGAGAATAAGAAAATAATAAGGTAAACAAATCAAAATTTAACGATATAAGATATCAAATTGATAGGAAAATCAAAAATATATTTTAAAAAATAGGGGAATGAATGACTTTATTTAAAAATAGAGACCAAAATTGTAGATCGATAAAAATAGAGACTAAAAATGTAATTTACCCCAATATTAAATAAGTTCATTTTAGTGAAAATAACTTGTAAATTTGTAAAAAAAAAATGAACTCTTCAAATTTATTGTGTAACTAAATCAGTGATCCATGCAATGCATGAAATAATTTTTTAATCAACTTATATTATTATTAAGATAAGATTAATATATGGCTTTAAAATATATCATAATTACTTAATATATAAATATCATATATATTAGCAATGTTAAGGTATCATATGAGAGATAATTAAATTTTATTTTTGATCATACAAAATTATAATAATAGCCTATGCATACTACTTCAACTCTCAACTACACTCCACAGTTAATAAACTTATTTAACTATCAAAGAAAAGGGGGAAAATACTTCTAATAAAAGATATGAATTAAACTAAAGCCAAATGTTAAGTTGTATAATGACCCGATAATATATTACATTTAATATAATACAACTACTACATAATGAAAAAACATAAAGAATCTACTAACCTAGGATTATCATACAATGACATTCGAATATCCATGTAATAAGATGCAATACACATAAAAATAGTCCTTGCCAAATTTGACTTGAAAATATAAATCCCTTGTGGAGTTACAACAAAACCTTGTACATATATATGAATATACATCTAGTATAGAAGTACTGATAACATAAAGCCTAGCGCTAGTCAAGCATATCTATATACTTCTTGTATCAAAACAAGTCAACAAAAACATAAAAGTCATTCCCATCATAACAATCCACCAAGCATTCCCTTCAGTCTAATTCTATCCTACTCCCTTAACAATAGTATGATCATAGCAATCCAACAACATAAAAAAGTAAGGGTAAGTTTGTGATACAAACACCATAGCATCAGATAAGGAAGTAAATAACTTCAAGCAATATATACAACTTAAACAATAGGCTAGCTTTGCATTTCTAAAGCATAACATCATATTTACAACAATCATAACTAAACAATGTAAACAATTGAAAACAACTGATCAATTGGGATAACTTTAATAATTGATAAACTTAAACAAATGAGCAAATGAACAACCGTTGCGTTGTTACACTTATCAATTAACAAAGATCTCCTACAACTAAATAAGAAATCTAAGTGACTTAACCATACTGAACCACAATGGTTGGTATAAAAAACCAAAAACAATGGCTAGCATGTTGACCATAATCAACAGTTGGTATGGTGACCAGAAAACAATAGTTAACATAGTGATTAGAATTGGTTTATCAAGTTTTTCCACTTACACTAGGAAAGTCTAGTATTGTAAGGAATAAAACAAGTTGAATGGGAGGATTCTATTAATGTGTAAGATACTCCTATTTACAACTTAACGACTTGGGTTTGAGGCTACCGTGACCTTAGCATGCATAACTAAGTCCATATGGAATTAACTAGCTGACTATCTTCCAAATACTACCTACCTTTCCGGTACTTGGTTAGGAATTTTGTCCTTTGACCTTGTATCTTACTCGTTGGCACTTATGACAAGTATGATTTGGTCTCCACCATATTATTTAAACTGAAAAACCTAAAAGAGTCATCTTAAAACAAATTCAAACAGCAATTTCAAATGCCCTATGCTTTTCTAGAGATCTTGAATAGATAAAAATGCCATAAATGAACACTACAACAAACTTTTCTAAAAGTAACAAGGGAATTTGTCACACCAAACGACATCACAACATACTCATAATAATCATACCTAGTCCTAAAAGTAGTCTTAGATATGCCATCAATATTCACCCTGATCTAGTGATAATCTGACATTAAATTAATATTGGAAAACACACAAGCTCCCTTCAATTGATCCATAAAGTCATTTATCCTAAGTAGTGGATATGTGTTCTTAGTGATCAACTTGTACACTACCTATAGTTAATAGACAATTTGGCACCACTATCTTTCTTCTTTGCTAACAACACCTACAGTACACCCGATGGAGATACACTCAACCTGGTCATCTAATTCTCTTAGAGATCCTCTACATGTTTCTTAAACTCAACCAACTCTGTTAAAGTCATCCTATATTGTGCTATTGATATTGGTCCCACACCTAAAATCAAATCAACATAAAACTTCAATTCTCTCTTAAGAGGTAACCCTGAAACTTTATCTAAGATACTTCAAGGGTGTCTCTAACCACCTCTACTACATTAACCAACTACTCACTCTCTACACTCAAAGATGAGAAAACATCAAAGCACTAACCTACCTCCTTTAACATATCATGTTGAGAAAAGATAAACACTAGAAGGGAGTTTAAATAGTGTGTATCAAAAATGCACATTTTTCATAGTGAATTAGTAATGCTAGTCAGATAAAGTACAAAGAGCAATCAGACGGAACATTAGGTATTTTTATATCAATTTGTCTCAACCATCAAGACTACATCCAATTCTCAATCTAATTAGATTGAGTTCTAAACAAAGATGCAAGTATTCTTTCAACAAGCCACTTCTAGCTCAACCTTAAGTATTTTTTGACTTGCCTCTTGAAGCAATTACCCAAGTATTCTTTTCGCAACAAC